ATGAACTCCACAGAGAGGAGAAAAAGATACAATGTATTTTTTTAAAGAATGAAGTGAGCAAACAACTAAAAAACAGTACTATATGTGCTAAGTTTCCAAGTGTTATCTTAACACAGAGATAGTCTGTCAATGAACATTTTATTCCATTTGATCCTCTGAATTTAGAAGCCAAAAGACCTCTCTTTACTCCTTCCCATATATCCAAGTCAGTGTCTCCTTCTCAAACAGTAGATTATCAGTTTATTTTATTTAATGGTTTTAGAGATGAGGTCTTGCTATGTCACCCAGGGCTGGAGTGCAGTAGGACTACAAGGCGTACACCAGCACACCTGGTTAATTTTTAAAAATTTGAATGTTGCCCCTTTACCCCATAGCAGTGTAATGAAACAGTGTAATGAAATGAGAAGGATGGAGAGGAGTTCTCATTTTCTTTCTTGATGTTCACCAATCTAACTCTGGATGTCTTAAAGTTGTCTGTTATTCCAGTTCTTTCTTGCTTTATAATTCACATTCTCTACTAGGAGTAAATGTGGTATATAGATATTTCAAGGAATGGTGCCATAAGCAATGTTAGAACCTCCATAGCTATTATTGCCCTCACGTACAAAGAGGGAAGTGAAGAGAGAAGTTATCAAAATTTAGAAGGAAAGAAAGCCATACTCATTGAGGTAGGTTCCTTAGTAGGCATTATGTTCTTTTAAAGGACACTGCCAGAATCAAGTTATCTTGCAGAGAGTGAGACGGGGGAAAAAAAAACCCTGGCCTTGTATTCCTCCATCCAACCAGTCTCTCTCTGTGGTTCTTCAAATATGTAGCACAATTATAATCCAGAGAGAAAGAGAAATCTGATGATGTAATTGTATAGGCCAGCCTACAGGGTCAGAGACCATGGTAGACAAGAAAACAGATCTGGAGTAATCCATAAACTCTAGCAGGCTAACTTGTTAACTTTTATAGAGTGAATTTCATAGCTTTCACTGTTCTTGAGAATCGCATTTAAATCACTGGTTGGGATGATGAAAAGAAAAACAATATTGTTGAAAAATGCCTGTGAACTTCAGTTCACTTATTTTAATGACGTTTGAAATTCACTATCTTTAGTTCATTGAACTGACTACAATACTAGTTTGAGATTTCCTATTATTAGCTCTCACATAGTCTTATACTTTTTTTGCAGTCCATCTCACAGTTGAAAATCTTGTTCAGTATCTGTTGTCCTTACGAGATTGGGAGTTCATTTCATGAATGTTTCACCTGTCCAGGATTGTATCCTTGCTTGTCAGCATTTTACTAGGCACATGTTAGAAAATCAAGTATTGTGTGAATTACTAGAAACACACAGCCTATTGCTACAATATGAATGTCTATGTTGCCCATAAATGTATATGTTGACACCTAATTTCCAAAGTGATGGTATTTGGAGGTGGGGCGATTGAGAAGTCAAGAGAGTGGAGTCCTTGTGAGTGAGACCAGTGTCCTGATTAGAAGAGCTTGCTGCCTCTCACTGCTTTCCACTATGGAAGGATACAAGAAGACATCAATCTACAACCATGAATTGAATGCCTGTCACACACCAGACCTGCCAGCACCTTGATCTTGGACTTTCCAACCTTCAGATCTGTGAGTAATAATTTTTTTCTGTTTAAGCCACCTGGTCTATGGCATATTTGTTATAACAGCCTAAACTAGGACATCAGTCGACAAAAATGTTGGCTCAGTTAATATGTTTAATTGAACTTATGTGTTTACATCAGACCCTGTTCTATATGTTCTGTACTATAATGTTCAAGGTATCAGAAAATCATAAAGAAGAACACCTTAATGTAGTGCCTTGCAAAAACAGAATGCTTTGAAGAAGTGGATCATGAAATGAGATTTAACCTCAAATAGCCACTGGAAAGGGGGAGCAGTAGAATACAGATCAGTAAGCCACAAGCTACTAAGGTGACAGCGTTAAGACCACAGACAGTTCTCTTTTGCTCAAGAATTGAACAGAAAAAAAGAAAATGGTAACAAATGAGAACTAGAACGTCATCAGAGATCCTCTCATGAAGAAGAACATATAATGTGCTAGGGAACTGGAAAGTTATGTTATCAGTTTTGGAAAGCTTTTGAAGGCTTTTTTTAGTAGAAAAATAATATGGTTGATTTTTAGGTGAATTCATCTTTTGGTCAACATTTGGAAGATGGATTAGCTGATGACCATAATATAGATATGAGACAAGTTTTAACTTTTAGAGGTAATAATATATGTAAGAATCAATAGAGTCTTAACTGAGTTACTAGCAGTAGGAACCAAAAGGAAGGAAGGAAGGAAGGAAGGGAAAATTTGGAAGGATATGTTATCTGCTTTAGTTGATCAGATATTCTATAAGCCCCATAGTAAATAACACTTACAGAAGTTATATGGGAAAGAAAGCCAAGTCTATAGCTAGAATATGTTTCCCTGTAAGAAAATACACACACATTAGGGAGGGAGGAGTATGCGTGCTCCTCCTTGGCCTGAGTCCAAGGTCAAATTTGAGTCTCTGCATATCAGGGAAGGGAGCATGGATTTGGGAACCATTGCTTCTAGGCTGTTCTCACCATGGGAAGTGGCAGTGCCTATGTCCCACTGCTTCCTTCGCACTTCTCTAATTAACTCAGAGACCCCACACTGGGAACCACTAGACCCGCAGGTCAAGGCCAGCATGGAGCCCCAGCCTCTTCTTAGATCTTGTTGGTAGTTTCACTGACTTGCTGAAATATCACATAGTCATTTCAGATCACTAATGGGAACCCATTCACCCTCCTTTCATAGATGCAAAGAGAGTGTGTGAAAAATAATATAGAGTTCCTTAAATCCTGAAGCTGTGGAGTAGGGAGGGGAAACAGACTTAACCCTGAAGTCCCAACCCCTTCCTCTGGTCCCTGGAGCCCTCCTTACACCAAGACCTCTACTGTTTATGATTTCTCCAGCTCACTTAGGGACAGTTCCCAGTAACCAAAATCTTCCCCCATCATTAACACCAGAGGAATTGGGGAGAATTCTAACCCCCATCACCAACTTCCTGAAAGTAAGACAGGCACTCCACGCATCTCTGGGGCTTCCAGGCCTTCGAGCTCAGACTCAGTTACACCTCTAGCTTTCCTGAGTATCCAGCTTGCAGATTGCAGATCATGGAATTTCTCAGCTTCTGTAATTGTGTATCCCATGCCTCCTAATAAATTGGTCTCTCTCTTTCTCTAATTATCTCTCTCTCTGTGTGTGTGTGTCTCTCTCCCACTATGTTGTTGGTTCTGTTTCTCTGAAGAACCTTGACTGACACACTAAAAAAAAAAATTACTTAATATATGATAAAAATTTTGTAAATATTAATACACATTATGGAATAAAACCAATTAACAAATAGGCTTTTTATTACTTTTCTATAATTTATTTCAAATGTAGCAGTATAATTTTCATGATTTCAAATTCTATAAGCATTAGATTGAAAGTCAGAAGCAAGCCAAGAACATATCACTGTTATTACTTAACATTCTTCTGAATATTATTTCCAACACATTTAGAAAAGGAAAGAAATTAGAGACAGAAGACTTGCAAAAATTTCCACTATTTTCTGAAATTGATAGTCTACAAAGCAAAAAAATATTAATTCATTAAGAAATCTAGGAACAAAATAAACACTCATTCAATTATTTTCATATAATTTTAAAGTAAACAACTACTTCTTTGTAATAGTAAACAGCTACTTCTGTGATACGAATATCCATGAGAATAAAATGTTAAAATAGCCAAGAATATTCAGGGGGAAAAGGTATAATGAGAAGACACTAGCCTTAGATTTTCATACATACCAGAAAATCAAAATAATTAAACCCATGTGAAACTGTATATAGATTCACAGACAAAGTAGTGAAACAGAATGGTGCATGTGCCTATACTTGTCTTTCAGATCACTAATGGGAACCCATTCACCCTTGTTTCATAGATGCAAAGAGGGTGTGCGAAAAATAATATAGAGTTCTGTATCTATTGATCTCATATGCTCAAGGTGAGATCCACCTTCACCCGGAGCAGCAGGAAGGATCTGGAGCTTCTGCCAGAATAAATGCAGACACCAGTGGAGAAGCAGTACCCAGTGTCATAAGGAATTAGTTCTGTGGAAGAGCTCATTCTGATGAAACAGCTAATTGGTCTTGCAAATTTTTAATTTCCATTTTTGGAAATTAGTAGTACATTTTCAGCTGGGCATGGTGGCTCATGTCTGCAATTTTAGCACTTTAGCAGCTGAGGCAGGAGGAATGTTTGAGCCCAGGAGTTCGAGACCAGCCTAGGTAACATAGTGAGACCCCATCTCTATAGAACAATTAAAAAGTTAGCTGGATGTGGTGGCACATGCCTTTAGTCCCAGCTATTCCAGAGACTGAGGCAGAAGGATCATCTAAGCCCAGGACGATAGAGTGAGACACCAACGCAAAAAGAAACAAGCAAAATATCTCATTGAGAACTAAGAGTTACATATAAGAGAGAAATATTGTTGCCTACATGACTCTTCCCACTCCCAGGTGTGGGAATGGCCAACTCCTTACTTCAGGGAGTAGGAGAGAGATATCAGGAATGTGGCATTTTTTTATGACACCTACCCTATCTCTCATTAAATATACCCATCCTAGATTGAGTGCAGGGATTCAGAAAAGCACTTCACAGGGAAGTCAGGGGTCAAGGCTTCAGGTGTCCTCGACCACCTCTGGCAGGAAGAAAATGAGAAAAGCAGAGTCTTCCTTCAGGAATATTCAGTCTAATACAGTCCCCCCTACCCCCTACCCATGGACCAGCCATCTCATTGCTTATTGCAAAGTCTCACTGTGTGGAATTCCAGGGAGGGGTGATATTTGGGCCCGTGGGTATTTTGTTTTGTTTTTGAGGTTAAGGCATTGTACCTGCTCATAATCATATGAATTCCCCCCAAAAGGGTCCCCCTCCCCCGCTAAGGTGTATAAACCTGATATAGAGAGGACTATACCAATCTCCTTCTTCCCAGCCTGTTGTGCTTTGTGCTGAGGAGGAGGGGGAAGAAGGAAGGAAAAAGAAAAAACAAGGAAGTATAAAGGGCAGAAAGAGAGTCCCCTCCCGCTGACAAGGGTGCTATAGATGGACTTTGGCTGGGACATTCTCTGTCTGACCCTTTAGGATGTGAACAAAGCTGGGGTGGAATCTGAGTCAGGAGTCCCCTGAGGAGGCCCAGCTGGAGCCCCTGCCCCCAGACTTGCCATCTTCGCCATCCCCCCCTGCTGGAGTCTGAGCAGCTACTGCCTGCATCCTCCTTGTCTTCCCTCTTCGGATTTTTTAAACCATGTGAGGGATAACAGCTGATGTAAATGGCCTCTGATCAATCTGTCCCTGGAGTCTGGAGCCCCTGCTCCTCTTCAGGGTCTTCTTGCAGACTTCCTGCTGCTGAGGACAGCAGATCTGCACCTCTTATCTCGAGGTTCTGGCCTACCGTCATACGCCTGTTCTTACCTTTGGCATAGGCCGTTTCTTTGTATGCAGCGTAGTTCTCAGACGACAAGGTCTTGAGCCAGAGATCCAACTCTGCCTTGTACTGTTCCTGCAGCTCTTCAGCCTGGCTTTTATAACATTCCCTCTGGCTCTGTGGGACGCACTGCCAGAGTCTGCCAATCTCTACCCTGCGCTCCCTCGGGGGCAAATGCTGGAACTCCATACTGGACCACAAGTCTCGGTGAAACTTGTGGTATCCATTCATGGGGGGCTTCTTGGGCTCTCCATAGAATTTCACTATCTTGGAACATTGATCCGTTTTTGGAAAAGACCTCTCTGCTTTCATGTTTTCCTGGAACTTCTTTTGGGCTTTGGATCGGACCCTCTTGGAGACATCAGGTTTCCTGGTGTTTTCAACTAGATCAGGATGTTCTTCCCTGAAGCGAGTCAGCTTTTCCTCAAACTCCTGTTTTTCGTTCTGAAAATCCTGAAGTTATTTCTGCTTCATCTCCTCTGGGAGCTCCTTGTACTTCTTAGACAGGATCTTGGTCATCTCCTGGTTTCTCAGCCCAGGGTACATGTGGGAGTACTGGGGCCGCTTCTCCTTGAAGAAACGGATGTATGCAGTCAGGGGCTTCTTTGGGAAATCTGGATGTTTCTTCCCTTTTTGGTTTTTGTTTGACTTTGTAATGCATTTCTTAGCTTCCTGGACTACTTCTTTTAAAGGGCTGGATTTCTTCAAGTTACAAGAAATCTCTAACCATTTGAGTCTGCACATTCCTCCAGAAAAATTTTTAAATGCTACTCTTCCCCAGTCTTGCTGTGGATGAGATGTGTTGAACGTGCAAGTGTCATTGGACGGGAGATTATTCTCTATGCATTCCAGCAACTTCAGGATGTCTTTTCTGGACCAGTGGTCTTGGCTTTTAGACAATGCCATTTTGAGGTCTTGGTCACATATAGGATGCCAGTTGTTTAGACACTTCAGCAGAAGCACAGAAGTTCTTTATTCTCAAGACTCAGCAAATGATTTATTTCTGGAAGTTTCGCAGTGTGTGTGATTCTATATAGAGGTTACAAAGAAAGGAAAGTCACTCTTCATTGGGAATAAAGAAAAAAAAAATCACACTCTACTTGTGATATGTCCTTTGGATAATGAATTTACCCTTAACAATATAAATGAAAAATTGCTTATTTCTGAATTGAAATTTGTGTTTGCCTTTCATATGCTACATTTGCAATAGTCAATATCTCTACTCCCCGACTCCAGACTGTCTTCTGCCAGAGCTCACCAGAGCCTGCTTTATATAGAACTTAAAAAAAAAAAAACCAGGACACTTACTCAAGAAGATTATTACAACAGAAAAGTCCTGGGGACAGAGAGTATAAAATTAAAATGGAAAAAGAAATGGTTAAAAGGGAAAGAAGACTTCACTCTATAGCGCCTTGAGTGTGGCCCCTTTCTAAGTGTAGCCCAGATGGCCATGATTAAAGGTGTTGTTGAGAATTTGGATGTACAATGAGACAAGCCTCAGAGATCCTCCAGACATGCGTCTCAATGGGTTTTTTTAATGGGTGGAATTTGACCCTGTAATAAAGACTGATTTATACATTCTTCAAGATCCTATGCATGAGAATGATGCTTTCTAGTGAACCATTCTGCTTCTCCTTTCAAATACCATTTAATCAGAATGATAAAACATTTTTAATTTAATTCGATGAACTGTTCTTCATATTTAAGCCTCAGTAAAATTTTGCCCTCTCCAAAAATTCCCTGCAAAATACCTGGCATTACTAGAACTTGAAAACATGGCAGATCTAACGGCTACCTTTTATTTGATTTTATTTTTTTTGCCATTTTTGTCCTGTCTAATGTAATATCTCTGTACAAGTTTCCTCAGACCACTCTCTAAATTCTTATAAATATTTCACTAGTCTTTTTAGAATAGTCTTCAATTCTATGACTAAGCTTCACATAAGTAAATTGCATACAAATACATACTTGAAATAAAACCAGATACTGAATAAAGGGTGAGTCAGGAGTGCAACATGTGGCCTTTGAGGGAAAACTATGCCTCCGAAGGGAAAGAGAACAGATTTAAGAGGCAAATGGAAAGTGACATTTTTGGAATGAGCTTCTGAATGTCTACAAAGAATATTTTTTAGAACTATTTTAAATTTAATAGGATACAGCTTTTGAATGACATTACAAAATTCACTGGAAGAGTAAAGAACTTATTAGTTATAGAATGCCACATAAATAATGAATATCTACTCCATAAATATATAAACACTTAAAAAATAAATTAAAATGTTGGTTGATTCCATATCTTTTCAATTAGAAGTTGTTTTTTTTTATATATATAACAACCTCTGTTCCTTGGGGTAGATACCTAACCATGGGATTGCTGGATCAAATGATAGATCTTTTAGTTCTCTGAGAATTCTCCATACTGATTTCCATAGAGGTTGTACTAATTTATACTTCCACCAACAAGGTATACTGTTCAGTCACAAAAAAAAAAGAAACATGTCTTTTTTAACAACCTGGATGGAATTGGAGAACATCATTTTAAGGGAACAACTCAGGAACAGAAAACCAAACACTGCATGATCTCACAAATGGGAGCTAAACTAAGGATCCACAAAGACATAGAGGATGGTATAATGGACACAGGAAACTCAAAGAGGAGTGGGAAGGTGAAGAGAAAAAAAAAATCACCAATCAGATACAAGGTGCACTGATGGGGATGGAGTGTACCTGTAAAGCTCAGATCAAAATCTATCTGCACACCCTAAAGCAATTGAAATAAAATAATAATAATAGTAAAAATGAATACAAATAACAAATGTCTTAGAGAATAATTAAAATATTCTGAAATTAAAGCAAAATTAAAGTCCATACTTGAGGTAGAAGAAATAGTAAATAATAGTCCATGATGAGGAAAAGCTTTTGAGAATTCCTCCATAATAAAAGAAGACATAAATTTAAAAAATTAAATTTGCAAAAAAGTGTTAAATACAGTGTGAAGGATTAAAGAAAGTACATATAAGAGTTACTAAATTTTTAATTTCAAAATTCAGAAAGATATTATTTTATTAAATATCCTTTAAAAAAGCACAAATTCAATAATAGAATAGTACTTGAGGGAAGAGTCACATTCATGTAAGAAAGTAGAAAAAGAAATGAAGAAATAAATAACTTTCAATTTTTTCAGGGATAAAATGTTGTCTTACACTTTCAACTACTTTGTAAGCAACAATTATTACAAATAAAAATAAATATAAAATGTACTCTAACTCAGAAAAAGGGAAAATCCCAAAAATTGTTATTAAAAAGAGATGTGGAATATTAGGAATCTGAATCTAAAACAAACTGCTACCTTTCCAGTTCTAACAGGGCAATGTGTGTAGAGCAATGGAAATGAAAATACAGTTTTTTTATGTGGCTCCTTTTTAATCCAAGCATTTTTTCAAATTGCGGTAGTTGAAGAGTGGCCCCCCAAATATGTCTAAATTCTAATCCCTGCAACCTGTGAATATGACCTTTTGGAAACAGGATCTTTGCAGATGTAATTAATCTGATGATCTCTAGATGGAATCACTCTGAATTCAGGTGTGGGACCTAAATCCTATGATTGGTGTCCTTGTAGGAGAAAGAAAAGTATGAGAAGCCATGACACAGGGAACGCCACGTGAGACAGAGGACGAGTTGGAGTCATGATCCCACAAGTCAGGATTTGAGATCAGCCTGGGTAACATAGTGAGATCCTGTCTCTACAAAACAAAATATTAGAGTGGTGGTGGTGCTTGTAGTCCCAGCCACTCAGCCTGAGGCAAGAGGACTGCTTGAGTCAGGAGTTCCAGGCTGCACTGAGCTACAATGGCGCCACTGCCTGGGCACCGCAGCCTGGGCCACAGAGCAGACCTTGTCTCAAAATTAATAAAGAAATGCTTCAACTGAACAGTAGGAAAATATACTTGAGAAATCAGAGGAACAATTTAACATTTCCAGTTAAGTTCTAAACATCATGCCATGGATAAAGCTACATAAAATCTAAAACTTTCCTCCAGAAATTCACTATTTATATACACAATAAAAAAGTCAATTTATACATTTAAAAGCAATGACAGATATTGAAAATTGTATAGCTCAAGAATAAACTAGGCCAGGCTTGGTAGCTCAGCCTGTAATCCCAACACTTTGGGAAGACGAGGCGAGTAGATTGCCTGAACCCACAGGTTTGAGACCAGCCCAGGAAACTTGGCGAGACCTTGTCCCTACAATAAATAAAAAATTAACTGGGCATGGTAGCGCGCACCTGTAGTTCTGGCTACTTGTAAGACTGAGGCGGAAGGATCGCTGTAGCCCAGCAGGTCGATGCTGGGGTGGCCAAAAGTATGCGTGCCACTGCACTCCAGTCTGAGCAACGGAGTGATACTCCAACACACACACACACACACACACACACACACACACACACACACACACACACGAATAAACTAAAAGTAATTGCACAATTTGTATTAACTAGGCTTATTGCATCTGTTTAGGAAAGTCTTATGACTTCTGATAGATGAATTTAAGGAAGGGTATGAATCTATCTTCTCAGAACTCTGTACTCACCTGGAGATCCTGTAACTGGTCTCAACAGTGCATGCAGGAAAGTCTCTACACGATGGGTGCCGAGATTCTGTATCCTGGGCTCTGAGGACGACAGCTGTCATTTCCTTTGGCTTCCAAAGTCTAGTCAATTCCAAGTGCCCCTAAACAGAAGGAACCTTGCTTCTGAAAAGCCTCAGGATTAGGATCCTTTAAGTCTCTCCTGATGAGGTTTCCACAGTGAGTTCCAGCTGTAAGGACTTCCCATCATTGATTAAATTAAGTGTCTTTCAGATCATCACAAATAAGCTACTACAAACAGCCACCAGTGTTGGTTTATTCTGTCATTGATTTCTAAATAACATCCATGTGGCAAATTCATGTCTGAGTTTCTGCAGTCTCACATTCTACCCCCATTCCATGTCTGACAATATCTCAACACAATCTTTGAATGTACATCCTTCTACTCTTGATAATTTCTGCCCTCTCTTCACAGTGACCTAGGATCTGACAGGTGAAAGGTCACCTTCCTCATGGACATTTAAATCTCTTCAATCGTGATCAATTTCTACCAGTCTTTAGAATTATTGTGAATGCTGGGGGATGAGAAGGAGAGGTTCCAATGTCTGGACCCCTGACTGATTTAATTTTGAATTTAGGGAAATGAAATAGGCACTGCATAGAAAGAAATGCATTCATTTTGGTGAAGACATTGTGATTACATTCAAATTGGTCAAAAATAAAATTTAAATCATGATGTTTGAACAAAAAAATTTCTTAAATGTTATTTTTAATCGAGATAATAATTACATATTTATGAGGTACCATGTGATGTTTTGATACACATAGGCAGTGTGTATTTATTGAATTAGGTTTTGACAATATCAGGCTTGTTAATTTTATAAATAGGCTTCCATCATTTAAAATTTTATATCTGAAGTTAACAACTAGTAATTAACTGACTATATTGAACAACAGATTATTATTTTTAAAAGCCTAAATTAATAAAATGTTTGTATATATTGTTACTGTTACAAAAATAAATATATATGACAACTTTGGAAAAAATTAATTATAAACAGACGTAACTATAGGCAAAAACTTGCACAGAAAAATATCAGGAAGGTTAAACTCCTTGGCGATTTCAGTAGTAGCAACTTGTTGGTATTCTTTTAAAAATATGTCATCCTTCCTTTTATATTGTATGATCTTTTAGTAACGAGAATAAACTCCTGAAAAAGAAAAGCTTATTTTTATAAGGATATACTGCATATATGATGTAGCAGATTGAATTGTTATGTCCAAGTCCTGACACCTGATACCTGTGAATGTAACCC